AATTTAAAAAGGAGACTGAAGAAATAGAAAGAGACTGAAGGAATCATGTAAGATTGAAAAAATGGAATTAGGACAGAAAGTCATACAAGATACAAAAAAAAAAAAAAAATCCAAATATTTCTTCACATGCAAAATCAAAATCAAAACCCCTCTTTCAGTATTGGACCTATGCTTAGAAGTCTTTTCGCCTGCTTAGTGACGATCGCGCTTGTAAAAAATTTCAGTATTTTTATGGTTTTTGTTTTTTTGAACATAAAAGAAATTATTATATATCATGCCATGGGTCCCACAAATGTCAGTGGTAAGGTTCAACCTAAGAAAACGCATTTGAGAATGACCATCGAGGAAAAACAAGAGATCATTCGTAAACATGAAAATGGTATGTGTGTTGTTGATGTAGAGTAGAGTATGTCCTTTCCTCATTTATTAAGAAAATCTATGCAGTATGGAAAGAATGGCAAAGTTTTGCTGAAAAGTGTCACCCAAATCAAGCTGTAGCAGATCGTTGTGTTAACCTTTTTAATGTTAGTGATGTCTCACTTCAGACAAGTCTCAATGTAGGGAAAAACAAGTGTCGCTAGACAGGTTTTTAGTGAGAAAAACAAGTAGTGAGCCATAGCCAGGTCCTAGTAGTATGCAGGCAAAATGTAGGAGAGAGAGTACCCCCAGAAAAGTCATCAATGCTTGATATTATAATGGAAGGTTACTCCCCTTCCAAAGACTAACACCTCTCTTCTTCTCCTCCTCACCATCTTCCATATGCCAACAAGAGTCCTCATTCAAGGTAAGATAAGCATACTGTATTGTAGTGTTATTTGGTATAAATGTATTTTTAAGTTAATATTTTTGGGGGTGGTTATCTTGAGGTTATCTTGAGATGATTTCTGGGCTTTTAGTGTCCCTGCGGCCCTGTCCTCGGCCAGGCCTCCACCCCCAGGAAGCAGCCCGTGACAGCTGACTAGCACCCAGGTACCTATTTTACTGCTAGGTAACAGGGGTATAGGGTGAAAGAAACTCTGCCCATTGTTTCTCGCTGGCGCCTGGGATCGAACCCAGGACCACAGGATCACTAGTCCAGCGTGCTGTCCGCTCGGCCGACCGGCTCCCTGAGGCCGACTGGTGTGGAACGGATTAATTCAGTTTACATTATTTCTTATGAGAAAATTCGTTTCGACTTACGAATTGTTGACTTACGACCTGTCTCTGGGAACAGATTAAATTTGTAAGTCGAGGCCCCACTCGACATAATAACACACACATAATAACATAGGATAAAAACCCATACTTGTGTAGACGGTGGTACTTCCGTTTACGAATTTAATCCGTTCCCCAGAGACGGTTCGTAAACCAAAAATTCATAAACCGAAACAAATTTTCCCATAAAAAATAATATAAATTGAATTAATCCGTTCCACACTTCCAAAAATATTAACTTCAAAATACATTTCATACAAAATACTACAAATATATTGTACTTCAGTATGTACAAGTTATATCTTGCCTTTATTGATGACTTTTGTTGGTGTATGGAAGACAGTAAGGAGGGGGATGGGGGAGGAGAAGAGGTGTTAGTGTTTGTGTTTGGAAGGGGAGTCCCCTTCTATCAGGCAATCAGGCAATGATGACTTCTCTTGGGTACTCTCTCTGTCTCCTACGTTTTGCAGGCATACCACTAGGACCTGGTTGTGGCTCACAGCTTGCTTGTCTTACTAGGAATCTGCCCTAAACACTTGTTTTTCCCTACATTTTAACACTTGTCCCAAACACTACACAGTCCCTGTGGTGTAGTTGGTAAGCCACTCGCCTGGCATTTCGCGAGCACTTTGTCCTGGGTTCATATCCTTATCGGGGAGGATTTACTGGGTGTCAATTTTTAACTGTAGCCTCTGTTTACCCAACAGTAAAATGGGTACCTGGTTGTTAAACAATTTGGTTTGGTCGTATTCCGGGTCCATATGATAAAGGACTTGCCTGAAATGCTTCACATGCTAGTGGCTGTATAAGAATATAAGAACTCTTGTATATATAATTAAAAACGTGTCTGTAGTGAGACATCACATTGTCATTAAAATGGTTAATAATGTAACAGCCTGCCACAGCTTTATCTGGGTGACTTTTACTTTTCAGCAAAACTTTGCAGTTCTTCCCATACTGCACACATTTTCTTAATTAATGAGAAAGGGACATTCTCTACAGCCTCCTCCTCCCATGAAGAAATTTCCTCAGCTGTCTTTTGTTGCTGCTCCTTGTGAAGGACTAAGCATTCGTCGGTGGTCAGTTCTTTGCTGTGTTTCTCCACCAACTCCTCCACATCAGCACCATCCAACCTATCTAGTTCAACAACTCTCATACATTTTCATGTTAATGAATGATCTCTTGTTTTTCTCTAGCGTCATCCTCACATTTTCTTAGGTTGAACCTTACCACTGACTTTCTTGGGACCCATGGTGTGATATATAATAATTACTTTTATGTTGAGAAAAAAAAATGAAATTCATTATGTAAAAAGAATTCAAACCAGATCGTCACTAGGCAGGAGGCACTGGTAAACTGAAGCATGCCTCACCCTTGCCACCAGGAACCACGCACTCGGTCAACCCATGCGTGTATCAACAAACTTTCCAAGCGCTGCAAAGCTCGTAAACTGAGTCAAATTTTTCGAAGAAATTGAGCTCATAAACTGAAAAATTCATAACATTGGGCATTTGTAAACCTAGGTTCCACTATACAGTATTTGAAATTCATGTAAGGAATTTACACCAAGTCGTTTGACCGCACTCTCCTGAGTGCTTTATCAAGGTCTGAGTGTGTGATTAGGATGAGACTTACACCTCAACATTTAATCCTTTATAAGACCTTGATAAAGCACTCTGGAGCATGTGAAAGACTTCATAAATTTCACATATACACAAGTGTGGGTTTTTATCTATTATAATTATTATTATTATTATTATTATTATGTAAGAGTGATAATTATTAATTAATTATATTATTATTATAATAATTATTACAATAATAATTGTTGTATTTAATAATTATCACTCTTCCTTCTACTTGGTCTTGAAGGAAACTGGCCTCGGGTGAAAGAGGGCTGTGACGATCTCTGGAACCCATAGGTGCGGGACCGGGACGTTCGCCTCCTGGGGCTCGTGCGGCCCAAGCTCTTCTTCAGGAGGCTGGAGTCGTTCTTGCCCTTGCTGGGGTGATTCTTCTTTGGCCCCGAACATGGTGGTCTCCGGGTTTAGAGTCCCTGTGTCTTCTTTCACCAACTTCGAGGTCAACTCCGGAACTCTCAGTTCCTGCGATGGCACTGGAACCAATCGTGTTGGCATTTTCCTTTCCATTGGAGACTTTTGGTGTCATGGAGAGGGTCGCCCAGGATGTTACCCATCCTGCTGCATGGGTAACAGCTTCTCCTCCATATCAACCTACCCTGGCTTTGCGCCCTGGAGAGGCCACTCCAGACTGACAACCAGAGCGCAACCCCATAGTCTCCTGAGACTGATGGATGCCTACTACTATTATTATTATTATTATTATTTTTATTATTATTATTATTATTATTATTATTATTATTATTATTATTATTATTATTATTATTATTATTATTATTATAATACTAGTACTGAATACCACAACCAGGCTGCCTGGCTCTGATTTCCAGTTGACTCCCCAAGTCAGTTCTGTTCCTGATGTTGGTATCACCACACTAACCTATAGTGGTTCCAGTTATGCCCGCACATGAGCAAGCCTCAAAGCTTCAAGCTAAGTGCTGGCCTTCCTTGGACTTACATTCTGTGGGGGTCATTTGCTTTATTGCATTGTTTCCAATTTTAGTGTTGCTTTGATTCCAGTCATTCTGTTTTCATTCGGTCATTGTGTCATTCTGCAAGTTGTCTTGTGCATTTTTCCATCTTCGGCCTGTTCCTGCTTCTCCTGAGCCATTATAGAACTGAATCAGTGTAGAATTGAGGGTAGAGCAGCCGGCTGACCGGTCTATCTCCCTGCTTTTCCCACACGAAGGGAGGAGGAGGGACGAACGAGCTCCTGCTAGTTTCATGAATATTTGATCGTTTGTTTGCATTGTTGTTACTTTTGTGATTTTGAGGTGTTGGTCTCACTTCTTACCAGTAGCAGTCTGTTTCGTCTTGCTGCTTTTCTGGTTGTGGCGGACATGATTAAAATTCACAGACAATTTTATCATAGCTCAACTGCTTTCTGCACCTCTATAGAGGGGGCCAGATTCTGGCTCGTGGTCCCCGGTAGGCTGAAAGAACTCCATGTTTGAGTGCACCTAGTAGTTTGGCACTACACGCTCATTACTCGAAATGCTCGTAAATGGAGTCGCTCGTCACTCGAGGCTCCACTGTATATCAGCACTCTAGCTTCATGGAGTTTTCAGAGCTTACCCAGAAATTAGAGTTTCATTACAGTTATGCACTGTAACCAGTTATACACTGTAAATGTACAAAAAATGTACCAGTTATACACTGTAAAAATCAGTTATACACTGATTTTTCAAGTTGTATTTGTTAATTTTTCATTTCAAATTGGGAGCAATACTTTAAAAGTTTCACATACTGTATTATATAATGTGTATAGTTCTAACTTTTTGTGAAATAGTTTTTTGATTGATGCAAGAATTAGTTATAAATTTTTAAATGTGTATTTTTTGGGATTAAAGGTTATTTTATATCAATTAAACAAAACTGAATAAATCATTCTCATTGATGAAGTTTAGATTCTTTTATCATTGATCAAGGGAACATTTATTTTTCATGATATGGCACATTAACACATCTTTTTCCTGGTATGAATATACTACAATATATAAAGATCAACTGGACAGTATTATGTTTAGTATAATTTCACTGGTAATTTCTATAGATAAGGTATTTGTGGATTTTACTTAAGCATTTCTTGTACTGTATAATAGTTGTGAAGCAGTAAAGGCTTCGTTTTGCCAATGTTTTTAATTTCACTTTATGGCTTTCTTTCAGGTGTGTCCATGGCATTGTCATCAATATCAGCATTCTTCATATGGTTTCTTGACAGTAAAATTGGTGTAATTGTGTTTGAAGCTGTATTTAATTTTATTTTTATATCTGGTTGGAATGCCCTTGATATTGCGTCAACTGAAGCTTTTCCCACTCATATCAGGTATGTAACTTGAAAGTCACTTATTTCTTAGATCTTTTATACATCAAAATGCCACAGAAAATAAATAAAAGATTAGGGATAAAAATGAATGCAGAAGCAGAGATAAATATTATTATGGTTTTCCTTAAAATTTGCTAGTGTGTAATTACCTAAGTGCAGTTACAGGATGAGAGCTACACTTGTGGTGTTCTGTCTTCCCAGTACTCTGCCTTGTCCTGGTCCCAATCATTGTGTTCCCTTGTCCTGGTCCCAACCACTGTCCACTTGTCCTGGTTCTAATCATTGTCCCCTTGTCCTGGTCCCAATCATTGTCCCCTTGTCATGGTTCCAGTCATTGTCCCCTTGTCCTGGCCCCAGTCATTTGTCCCTTGTTCTGGTTCCAATCATTGTGTTCCCTTGTCCTGGTCCCAACCATTGTCCCCTTGTCCTGGTCCCAATCATTGTCCCCTTGTCCTGGTCCCAATCATTGTCCCCTTGTCCTGGTCCCAATCATTGCCCCCTTGTCCTGGTCCCATCCATTGTCCCAATGTTCTGGTCCCAATCATTGTCCCCTTGTCCTGGTCCTAATCATTGTGTTCTCCCATCCTGGTCTGAGCCATTGTGTCCATGTTCTGGTTGTTGTCAGTCACCATGTTGGAACCTTGGTGCAGTTTGATTGGTATGGAGGTATCCAGATCAGCTAGCAACAGGGAGCCACCTTGAATTTAACAGAAAAGCACATTTCATTATAGTCAGTGCTGAGTTTTTGGTGTCGTTTTTACCAAATAGTGCAGGAAATGTAGAGTTTAAACCTCAATATCCAATGTCCAGCAACCATCAAAGTATGACCGATTTTACCCAATGAGAAAACATGGATTTTATTATTATTCCTTTGCATAAAATACACAGATTAGTAAGGGTTTCAATTTGATAAATTATAACACTGCATCTATTTAATTTTTTTTACTAGCTCTGTTCCTTATTTTTACAGGACTACAGCATATGGTTTCCTTAGCGCTGCATCACGAATTGCTGGAGTTTTGGGGTCACTGTGTTTTGGTCAGTTTATTTACTCTAGTCGGGCAATTCCTATGCTCGCTACTTCCGCAGTCCTAATGATTGGGGCTATTGTCTCCCTTAAACTCCAAGAGACCAAAGATAATCTTTTATAAATAATTTTTTATTATGATTAACTTCTTGCAAGGAATACTTACTTGGCAGGTTATATAAGAAATTCCCCTAATGTTTGTATAATAATATCTGAATTGTACAACTAATTTTTTGGTGAAGTTTGTCACATTTAGTTCATAAAGATATGGATTTTAACATTACAAAGTCAGGAATTGTGCATGGAACTTAATGGACACAAATATAAAAACCTGCAGATGAGCACCCCACAATTATTTGTTTTTAACTCCCAAAAATTAAATAAATAAACTTATTAATTAATACAGTGTAACCTCACTTGAACAGATAAATTGGAAATGAACCTGTTCTAGCCCTCTAAGAATTACATTTCATCATTCATTGAGCTATTGTTTTATTAATGTGCTTTCTAGGGAGGGAGCCACTTGATGGGTCCCTGGAGCCCCTTGGTGGGTTCCTAGAGCCTCTTGGTGGGTCTCTATACTGTGTGTCTGGACAGCCCTACACACTCACTTTGTCACAAAAGGCTCTTGAGAGTCATAAATACCTATTGGAGTCCAGAGACAAAATCTGGTCCATTCAATAGAGGCACAGGGAGCAGGAGATACTAGATCACTCTAACCAAGAAGAAAACCCCCATAAAAGTAGAGCAGACATACAACTGCCATAAAAATAAAACCGAAACTGAAGCTAAAGACACAATAGTTAAGTTGTTAGGCCACTAGTTACACACTCCCACAACCATATGGGTGCCAACAAGAGCTCAGGGATCAATTGGAAACACTGAATAGTTAAGTGTCTGGTGCAACTTGACATTCTGTTTATTTCACCTTCCTTTGGGTCTAGGTTGTTCTAGATAAGTGTTGGCTATCCTTTGGACTCTGTCCTGCAAGGCCTGGCCTGTGCTTATGTTTGTTCCAAATTTTGGTGTCTGCTTCACATGCATGTTTTTATCAAAGCCTCTGTTGAGGGGACCTTTTGAGTCGCTTTTTTTGCTTCAAGCTACTGAGTGTGTTTTAAGAGTAACCATCCACAGGTGCTTGTGGGCACTGTCTCTTTCTGGCCAGTGTTACTTTCCAGGGAGATTCAGGTGTCTGTTGCTCCAGAGCTGCTTCCTCTCAGTGGGTTTTCTTCTGAGTAGTGCAATAGCTTTTGACTCCTGTACAATGCTCTGAGGTTTGGGCAGATGGGGTTTTACTATATGTGGGAGTGAGTGGTGGTGACTGTACTAGAATTATCTATGTGCCACTTAAACAATACCCAGTTGTCTGTGTTTCCCTAAGTTGTGTTCGGTGTTTGTTCACATAGGCAAGCATCCGATGTACCTGGTGTTCTTGGTTTGGTTTTATTTCTTCTGGATCCTGATAAAGCCCCCATCCTATACCCAGATCTTGGGTGTGGTTTGACCATGGATCTTCTCCCAAGTCTGCTCTCATTGTTTGTTGTTTTTTTCAGGATGCTTGCGGTCAGGGCCAGATAAAGCTAGTGCGAGTTCCAATGCACATGTTATAAAGGGGCCCTAAATTTAAAAAGTACATAAATATTAAAACATAAATTATTGATTTGCATAGTAAAGTAATTTAATTTTTTCACTCGCTGTACAGCATCTAATGACAAATATGCAAGTAATAGTATGGGAATGCCTACTATGGATGCCTACTACTCTACTAGTATTAGTTGCATGTAGGTATAAATTTCAACTGCCAAGAGTTATCCTAGAAATAGACAAGAATAAGATTTCAACTGTCTCTTTTTCAACTGCTCTCTCATCACCACCAGGTGGTGAGAGACTGTAACTTGTGGTTCTAATGACCTAACTTTCTGTCCTCTAGTTGTCAGTTTTGTTTCTATATTCCTTGCAATTGTATGTTTTGGTACGCTCAGTCTTTCTGGTAGTTTTTTACTCTTGGTTAGGGTTATCTAGTATCCTAAGTTGTGCCTCTATTGAATGAATAAAATTTTGTCTCTGGTAGGCATTTATGACTCACAAGGGCTTGGTGTGATGTATTGTGTGTAGGGCTATCCAGGTAGCTAATAGCCCCAGGGAGACACCGAGTGGCCCCACCAGAAATAGGCGTTTCATTACATTCAATGCTTGATTTTTTCTGTTGCCCAAATGATTAAAACATCTTTCTGCGTATATCAGAAATAAAATACTGAACATACAAGGAAGTTTAAATATACTGAATGGTAAAATACGGTAGTGGAAGAAAATAGACAAATGTTAGAACAAATTAGAAAATCTGTATTTTCAAGACTAGCCCACTAAGTAGTTCACCTTAACTATAGTCTGTATTCCCTCACCTACCTCCAGGTGATGGCCCAACAAGAGCCTTGGTCAACAAGCGAGGCTCTGAACAGAGAATGACATTTCATATGTGCATGAGTACTTGTGTTGTTGCACTTGCTCATTTGGGAGATGGAGAACAGTGCCTTTTACCAGGTTTGCTAGAGCAAAACATTAAATGATCTTTAATTTATTCCAGGACTACTTTCACCCTTCCTTGTAGCTAGATGGGGGTTAGTGATTGTACTAGATATACATTTTTCTTGTGATTGGTTTGTATACTGGTGTCATTCATACTGAAAGCACTGTATTTGTTTCTTGAGTGTCAGGGAATTTTTTTTACCTCAAAAAACCTGCTGGTTGGGTTATGATGGTTCCCCTGGCCAGTTTAAGAATCTGAACCTGCATTTTGCAGCTTTCCTGTATGTATCAGAATTCGGGATGGAATATATGAGGGTTGGTCTCTATTTGTTTGTTTTGAGCAGTAGTACACAATATTTGCTACTATACAGTACTAATGGCAAAAGAATACTGTAGTTCAAAATTTCAAGAAAAAAATATAGGTATGATATTTCTGAGTCAAGCTGCTTCAACATGAAAACTTGGCGAGATGGCCACCATGTTCCGGTTAACTGAGGGTTTGGCCATTAGCAAATTCTTTCCAGCTATCCGAAGGTACTGGTTCACCACGATCCATTTGAGCAAGGTTACACTGTATCATTCATTTATGCTTGAAAGCTATCTGGCTACTAACCAGGTAAATATAAAACAATCATAACATTTGCCTAAAAAATATTTTAATATGTAATTAATCTGTTATCTGCGAGTTTGCAAGTCAGGTAGCCGCCATGGCCCAGAAACATGAATAATGGGCCAGATTAATGACAAAATATTAACATTAAAAAAATATTATTCCCAAAATGTCCAAATTTCCATATTTTTAATCTGAAATTTCTTCATGATGCATGAAGTAGATAATCTGCTTAAAAAATTAGAAAACATCACAAAAGAAAATGTAAAATGTTGGAATTTTTTTGGGGGGGGGACATTTCATCAGCAGAAAATTAACTGATTTGTTGGAGCCCAAAAATGTATCCATGCTTCAACATTTCTGTTGGCCAGGAAAATAGATCAAAGATATTATTATTATTATTATTATTATTATTATTATAATCAGAAGTTAATCCATAATTACCTCACTTTTAGACTGTTTTCAAACTTTAATATATGTATAAGAATAAGAAGTCAGGCAGTATTGCATGCCTGATAAGATGGGTTGTGAGCAAAATTTATTTTATATAAAATACAAAGGATTTCACTCTCATAAAGAATTATTACTTCTGTACCCTCTTGGTGTAGCCAGATTTTGCTCAGTTTTTGTTTTTCTCAACAAATTTTTGCTATATTTTGTCATAGTTTTTTTTTTTTTTAGCCCAAATGATAAAACAGATTTGAATATTCCGTAATTGGAAAAATAACTTACATACAGTAGTAAATTTTTATGTAAAAATATAGCATCATATATTTTCTAAGTTCAGATGCTTCTATAGCCAGCAGCTATATAATCCACCATGAATCATATCACCCACCAGGCTCTCACTACCTTTCTTTCCATCATGACAAGGATCTTTGTAAGTGTTCACAGTACATATGTAGGAAAGGGAGACAGTGGTAAGCCTAATTTAAACCACTATCGAGAATATCAACAGCTTACTATGATATTCAAGATTGAAGCACAACTTTCCACTATGAAAGTAAAAATTAGAAGTACAGTACCCACACCACCATTATAACGGGGGGGAACAGGAGTCGGCTATCCTCACTTTTAGTCCAGTCAACCACCCATCACCTTCATAGTGCTTTGAAGTGGTGGTTTAAATTATTTCTTTTGTTTTGATTATCTAATGTAGTGGTAGGTGGTGTTCTATGCTTTTAGTGTTCACTTTAGAGTGTGGTGTATCAGTATTTTGTCACTGGCTATTGCTATTCACTGCAGCTGTGTTTTTGGATTATCTTTCCCTGATACTATTTGATGAAGGTCAATAGCCCCAATAATATCTTTTCTACAGTTGTTTGGCTCTTGTTTTCAGTATGGTTTAGCTCCTGATGATTTCTACAACTGCCTTAGTTGTGCCTTGGGACTTTGTTACAAGCCTGTGCCTTGGTTCTGACCTTCCTTTAAATTGCTAATAAAATTTAAGGATAACCCACACTTAAGGTTCATTTAATATTTACCCTCTGTATGTTTGCTTGGCAGCTCTTCCTTTTAGTTTCACTGAATAGTATTGCATTGTTCTGGTTTTTCTTTTTGTTTAACCATGGCCTGGCCTTATTTCATCTTTGGGTTATGGTGTGTGGTTAATGCACTGCAAGTTAACAACTTTTTATAACTGGGCTTCCTCTTTGGTCTTTGTCCTGAAGTTACAGATCTCTGGTTCTCATGTTAAGTGTTCTGTGGAATTTGACTAGTTGAGTCATTATTATGTTACCTCATTCTAAATTTGATTCTATTTTTTTGTGGGGAGTCCCATTGGCTCCCTGAAGCTTGTTTACTGATTAAGTGTCACCCTACTTGGAGTCATGAATTGCAGAGTTCTTATATGCCTACTGGGGACCATGAGCCAGAACCTGGCCCCCCCCTCAGAGAGGTGCAGAGAGCAACGGCCTATGAACACTTTACATGTAAAGTTTGTCGTATTACCATCAACCAGGGAAGCACCCAGTAAGAAAGGCGAATCAAAAGAGACTACTGCCTGGTTGCAAAATGGAACCTGGTTGCAAAAATGGGACCTGGTTGCAAAATGTGATTCAGCCTGGATCCTAATGATTTCCTGTCTGCAAGGGTAGCGGTGGGAAATTGCAGGGGTGAATAATGCTGTAGAGTAGGCAGCAATGGATTTTTGACTTGCAGTTGGAGTAATGATGGTCCTGGGCACACAAGCTGCACTTCTGGACACTTGTTGGTGGAGTGGGAGGAATCGTAGCACCGAAAGCATTGTTGGAGCTCGTGGAATCATTCCTTCTTCACTTGGAAGGGGGAAATCTTAATGCAAAGCAGTGGAGACCATGTGTGGCAGCCTGGTCAGCCACAGCTAAGGTGGTAAAGGATATTTTCATGGTGGGGAACTTGTCGTTGTCAGTATTAGTTCTGCAAAATATAACATCGAATACCCCCAGGTTCGGGTTTTCTTCCTCAATGTTGGTAAGATATCCATTTGTTCTTGGTCTGCGATCCACCAGCTGGTCCCACTGATAAAGACTGTTTGGTCAGTGGTGTACTGACGTGGGAAGAGAGGACAGAGATGGTGCAGTTGGCAAAGTGTGCAATCGAATTTTGGGAGTTTTTGAGATCCTCCACACACGAGAAATAGAGCATAGTATTCTCCCGTTCTTGACTAAGATCAATGGATTTAATTCTAGAGCTTTTTTTAGGATCTTCAAGGCGTCACTTTTGGGGAAAGCATTTCTGTCCATGAGAGCAAGTCCTGACTTTTAGGCTTTTGTAGCGCACTGTCGTTGTTAAAGCCCCCTCAATAGGTCACAGTGGTGGTGGATGTCTTGTGAAGTTACTCAGGCTTGCTTGAGATCCAGTTTCAAGCAAGTGTGGTCCAGTGTGGACTGGGTGTGGTACTATCCATCTAGATTGATTGATTGATGAAGATTAAGCTACCCAAGAGGTGGCACGGGCATGAATAGCCCATAATGTCTGTCTAGAGACTTGATCTCTTCTTATACTAGTGGAGAGTATGGTGTGTGGCACTGTTTGGCTGTCTTTTTAAGTTCTGCAGTGCATGTGGGGTGAGGTGGGGTTAGTTTTCAGCCTTTGTCACATTGGTCAGGGGCATTGTTCTCTGCCAGAGCATTACACTTGCATAAATTTCTTGGAGATACAGAATATTTGGATGGTACTTCTGTGCATCTCTCTCTCCCACATTGTGGAAGAGAGAGATGTGCAGACATACATCTCCTTTTAAAGTTAAGAACTACTAAAAAGTTTCTTTTTAAGACTGCTCATAACCCAGTCGACAGAGCTACGGCCTTTCACGCATGGGGTCAATGGTTATTTATTTATTTATTTATTTATTTATTTATTTATTGGTTCTAGGCCCATACAGCCTAGGTGAATGGAATGTTTATTTCCACGGAAGTGTGGATGGCATTTTATGAGTGTAGTATATTTTGGTAATTTTCCATGTAATGTACTGTACTGTACCTATCTCAATGTGATCTGGTCAAGCAAATGTGTGTTTTGTTTACCTGAAATGCTATCTGTTGCATTTGTGCTTATTATGTAAACTGAATCCTTCCAGTACATATGATTCTGTAGTGGATTGGACTCTTGAGTGAGATTTCACTGCTAAACGGGATGAATCCATGTGTATATTGTGACATATTTTCATACAATATGGAAACATCCATCACATTAAAACTTAACTAACATTTATTCATCATGGGGAATTGAGGTTTTCAAACTAATTGTATATGTTGATCTGTGAGCTGTTCATGCTAATTGTATGTGCTGAACTAGCTAGACCACACATGTATTCACATAAAAAATTCAAATCTTATTCTAATAAGATTTAATAACATTTATGCTCACAATTTTATTATTGTACTTTTATCAGTGTTAAGGATGAAACCATGTGTGAAAGCTGCTGAACTGAATATCCAGTTGTAGATGGCTGAGTAAATGCTGAAGAGTTCATATTTTAAAAGATAAAAGAGTAATTTTTTTTTTTATTATTATTTCAAGTTCACTTGTTCAAACATTTATATTGTTGTGAAGTTTCATGTGCCTGACATTGTGACAGTATACTCTACAATGTAGCTAGCAGTTACATTAAGGCCCAGTTTTTGGAAATAGATATAGTTCTTCACAATCAGTACTGATAAAAGATACTACAGTACAACTTTTTATTAATATAAAACATTAAGATAGAAACCCGACTAGCCATATCCAGTTACTTTTAATAGGTAATTATTTAAAACAATGAATGTGTGTTAAAGTATTAAAGTCAGCTTTCAGTTAATGTATATATGTACACTTATATGTACTTGAAACATATAAAATATATCACAAACTTTATTCATGTTGTAATAATAATAACAAATTAATTTGATACAACATTTGGAAAATTTGGGCTGTGTTGAATTAATACCCTAATAATGTGATGTTTACTATGGCAAAATTAGCTTTTATATCACTGTCAACAGACTAATGCATTTGTTTATGACCAAAGTTATTTCTTGGTTAATGACTGAATTTGTATATGAACTTTGCTGTGTTAGGTTTAGTCTGTGGTTTGAAAAATATGTGGTAATGTTTGTTCAGTTTGAGATATATACAAGAGTTGTTACATTCTTGTACAGCCACTAGTACGCGTAGCGTTTCGGGCAAGTCCTTAATCCTATGGTCCCTGGAATACGATCCCCTGCCGCAAAGAATCGTTTTTTCATCCAAGTACACATTTTACTGTTGCGTTAAACAGAGGCTACAGTTAAGGAATTGCGCCCAGTAATCCTCCCCGGCCAGGATACGAACCCATGACATAGTGCTCGCGGAACGCCAGGCGAGTGTCTTACCACTACACCACGGAGACTGCTAAGTACAATACTTAGCAGTCCTTAGTTGTACAATACTGTATGTTTTTTCTGGAGGGAGCCCCCTTGTGACTTCCTGAAGTTCTTTTCCTGGTATAACTTCATACTAAAAGGTCACAACAACCACAGTTAATTCTGTTTAGCTTACCAAGGACCAGAGCCAGAAACTGACATTTCCTCACAAAATAGCTGAAAGAAAGCAACACTCCACCACCTCACCAGAAAAAGCCTCTAGAAAGTCAGCTCAGCTTTACAAACAACTGGAGGGATCCCACAAAAAACAAAACCTTGAAAAACCACCAAACAGCTACTGCAAACAAGTCACATGGCTCAAGCTATTCACTCAAACATGTTAAAAATTCATTAGAAATAATTATCACCACCTAGCAGTCTGGCACTGGCTCCCAGCAAGCTCCCTAAGTCAATTTTGTTCCTGATGAAACCACACCACGCCATCTTTTAGTACTGTATTTCCAGCCACATCAGCTCATTGGTGAGCCCCAAAGCTTTCAGGTTAAGTCCCAGCTTTTCTTTGACTTATGGTATATGTCCTGTGTTGTCCATTTGTTTAGTTGTGCTTTTTACAGTTTTATTGTGGATTCACATGCATGTTTTGATAACCGAGTGTTGTGGGGGCTTGACTCTTTGTGCATTTCAGTGTGCATGTACTCAGGGTTTCCTTCCCTGTGTGCCCACTAACACTGCCCATGCGCAGCCTGGGCAGTGCAGTCAGGGTTCATCTCTGTGAGGCTGGCCTGCCAGGGTTGGGGCCTCACCTTGGGCTAGTCAGGGGTTTTGTTTCCTCTGTAGTGCCCTCAGGGACATTCTTTGGTTGTGTTGGGGTGCATTGGGGATTTGTGTGCTTGTTTGCATGGCATACCACATTCATCTCCTGTAACTGGGTGGTGGGGCTATGGTTGGTGGCTGTTCATTCGGTGAGCAACTCCAGTGCCTGGGGTACCTTCTCGGTTTTCCTTCAGGCCCTGGGAATCTTCTCTGGTTTCTATCTATTCTATTATCTTATGGAGCAGCCCGGCGAGCCCGGTCTCATGGTTTGGGAATTTGAAGTGTGTTCATCGTCTTGTTACGTGACAATGATCTTTTTTTCTGCCCCCCACCATGATGCCTGTTGAATCGGTGATGTTTATGACCCTAAGTCCTGAGAGGTGTGTTTTCACTGGGTCCCTGCCTTGACAGATTATGCTTCTCTGTTGGAGGCTTTCCAGGCAGCTGCTGCTTTATGGGCTAAGTTTACTAGTGTGAAGTATTTGTGGTATATTGATTAGCTAGAAGCCCAAGAGTTGGCCCCTGTGGTGTTTAAAACACCCAGAATTGGAGGTGTTGGTGATCACCTGGACTTAGTTCGCACCTCCTCTTCCTTTCCTTGCAGATGTGGTTCTCCCTGCATCTGGTTTCTCTCCCACCCCTTTGATTCCAGCACTAAAGCATCTGAGGGTTTTGGAGTCAGGCCAGGTGATAGCTTGGAGAGTAACTCGGCCTGCTCCAGGGGTGGTCCCTTACACATCAGCAGCAGGGGAAGTTGAGCCTTCCAGTCCTGCTGTGATTTTGGTAGTACTCGCCTTTACACCTGCATCCTGACCCCAAGCCTTCTCCTTGGGAGGATACCTTCCTGTTTCAGGTGTTGCGCATGGACTTTGGCTCCGCCCCAGGGTCTCAGTTGCAGGCTTCTGGGATTGAGGGGGATTCCAAGGATGCCTTTCACCCCTGATTGGTTCTTGGTTCCTTCTATGGAGAGTCTTATGCTGCAGGTGATTCATTTTTCTTATTCCCCCTTCCATGTATGAGTTGATTGTTCGGCTGCTCCCCCCTCAGGTTTGTTTGCCGGTTCAGGTTAGGTGAACGGATTTGTCCTTTTTCTGGAGATTTCCATCCTTCCATGCTGTGCCTTCATTAGTTCGCTTGGAGTTGCTTCTGTATCTCCTGTGGAGTTTGGTCCTCTTTTTTCATGTTGAACCTTGCCTTTTTTGTGTTTGGGTCCATCTCCTATATTTGGTTACAGTATGAGGTCTCAGGCTCATCCTGGCTGGCTGACAGCCCTCTTCTTTCCTTGGGATCTTGGCTAGGGTTCTGTTATTCCTGTGTGTTTGACTGTCAAGAGACGAGCTTTATCTCTTGACCATGTTATGGCTATTCTTTCCTCACCTTGGTTTATGGTTCCCCTTCAGCTTTTCATGTTTTTCGTATGGCGGTTTTCCCTGTTGGCTTTCACCTCTGGCTGTTCGGTTGGGGACCCTGGTTGAGGCTCTTCTCCGAGGCTAACGAGAAGAATCTTTCTTCTCCGAGAAGTGGCTTGGAAAAGAGAAAAAAAAATGGTTGTGCATTGCACGACCATTTTTTGTTAACTCAAATAATTTAAGACTTAATTTTATTAATTTTAATTTTTGGACATGATTAGCTTATCATTTACCATGTAGGAGGCTTTATTTAAATGAGTAGGCCTGTGACCATTTGTGCCAATAGTGTCCAATAGAATTTTGTTGCCATGTGATACAAAATACTGTGGCACCTCCAAAACACTGATCACATCTTTTCAGACCCAATCCAATTTTTCTGAAATTTACCCATTTTTACTGTTTATCACTACATTTTCTGGACTTATAGCAAGTGATACAGTTCGTGTCGATGCATATTTAGATTTTTAAACAATATTCTGTATAAATAATGTAAATAAGAATTATATATGAAATAAATATGATAAATTAATTTAATCACATGCCTTTTTGTATCTCAGACTGGTCTTGATAATACAGAGGCACCAAATTGGCCTCAACATCCTCAATGCCCTTGGTTAATGCCATTCTCTCAGCTGCAGACTGGAAATGTAGCCGCAGCAAGTTTTGTGTAATCATTTTTAGACAGCACCATCTATATCCTTATTCTTAGATGGCTTCAATGTTTTATGCTGCTTCTATTTTTATCACTTCTATGTTCTCTGTTAACCCCCGATGTACCTTCTTATATATAAATAAATAAATAAATAAATAAATAAATAAATAAATAAATAAATAAATAAATAAATTCACTGCTCTACATTTTATTTATAAATTATATGATCAGCTTCTTTGTTTTTTTAATATGAGGAGAACACTTTACCAATGATATACTCCTGATATCCACCTTCTTCCAAAATTTCTTCTTACCAAAAATATGTGATTTCGGTAGTTTATGTTAATGCTTAAAGTTCTTTAAGTGTTAATAATGTCTAGAAGACTTATGCATTATTAAAGGCCACGTTCCTTTAATAATGCTTAAAGGAACTTGGCCATATTATCCATGGTAAGAATGTGTCTTATTCTTATCTGATGTACCCATACTGTTGTTATATAACATGTCTTTACCTCACAAATAACGATATATCAGAAGAAAAGTCAGTGAAAATTCTTAAATACTGTAAAGAGAAGTCAGATTGCATTCACAAGGAAACATGGTCAGTGCATGTGCCCTCAGCAGGACCGGATGCATTCGAGGAAATGCCACATAAATATAATCGTTTATATAATTTATAGTACAGTACAAGCTAAGTAAATCATATCTAAAGTAAAAATTCATTATTTTATTTATTTATTTATTTACAAGAAGGTATATTGGGTTGTGAGAGTACAGTACATAACATTGGTGTTCTTACATTTTGCAAAGCCATTAACATGCATAACATTTTGGGCAGGTACTTTTAATCTAACAGATAGGGTATGGTTATTAATAGGTACGTTGTAGCAAAATTTTAGTTCAACATAATAACTGCAATATAGAATAATGGAAATGATTACAATTTTAAAGATATTAGAAAAAAGATTTGAAGGTAATTAATTTACATGATGAATTAGCAGTCAGATTTTCATTGCATCCCTTTCTGGTATCTAGATTTTTATATATAAAAATCCAGTTTTGGAGGGGAAATCTGGTGATAAATTCAGTTATTCAGAGGGATCTGTTATGTTACCAGATAACATAACAGACATGGGATCACTAGATTCTTTCAAATGTAGGTAATACATATATAAATGCATGAATTTGCATGGCTATAAATATGAGCCATCTCATAGGGATCAATACGCTTCTGCAGTTTTCTTTATTTTTATTTTCTTATGTTATTTAATAATTTAAAAGTATGTTTGAGGTTATAAGTCAACATTAGTTAAGACTGACACTATACGGTAATTATGCATCAAGAGTGAAATACAGTGAAATATGGTAACCATTATTATTTATCCAGAAAATGCATCAGCAGTATTATGTACCGACAAAATAAATATTTCATAATAACTTTATTCATTATTTTAAATATAAATGTTTAGTGTATCATTTTGCAATCTTTTTATTTTATTAACTTCCTAAAATATGGCAGACATTTTGCCAGTTGTGCATCTCTACTTTACTTCCTGATTTACATTCAATGTCTGCGACTGAAACTTCTGCTTCCCAAAATGCATTGCAAAGAAACTAGATTCACAGAGCCTCATTGATGTGAACATTAAATACAGCTTTGTGATACCAGAGGATCAAGACAAATTCATTTTTGTATAAAGTATTAGTGATTAGTAATTTTATTTTCATTTGTAACTAAATTGCACAAACGTTTAATATTAGTATACAGTGCAGTACATTGTTTTAACTATAATTTGGTTGTATAAGGAGCAAAACCTTATCATAAGTTAGTGACTATAAAAACATAGATATCTATTATGTAAAATTAAGCATTAGTAGTGGAATAGAATGTTTACTAACAACAGATATCTATTATGTAAAAATAAGCATTAGTAGTGGAATAGAATGTTTACTAACAACTGAGACATGACT